AAGGCGGCCGCCAGCCAGTGAGCTCGGGGAAGGGAAAACCCGGGCAGGGGGGAGGGGGCCGCATCTTTTTCTCCCAGCTTGCCTAATCTTGAGGACCCCATCTAACAGAAGCGGGTAGAATATTTTCGGGCTTCTCCTTATGTTTTATAGAAACTGCCTTTTGCTTGATGAGACAACAGAACAATCGAGTGAGGCCTGACTCAACAGCAAGTTTCTGGGAATTATGTGGGAATCAAAGCTGCAAACTGAAGTTAAAAACTTCAATTGTGTCTTTGTGTTTTGTTGTTGTTTTTTAATGGGATTTTAGAAGGCTTTTTTAAAGCATATTTAGGCTGAAAATAAGGTGTTTTTTTTGTTTGTGTTGTTTGCGAGACAGAAGGCTTCTTTGTCAGGTATAGTAACTTGCGAAAGAAGCCTTTTGCCAACTTCATTTTGCAGAGCAAGAGGTGTCACAGGCGTAGTGTGGTAATGCTGGGTTTTAGGCAGAGGAAGGGGAATGAGGCTGGTGGAACAGGTGGCATGCGATCACAAATCATCTCTTTGTTCTGGCCTGTTGACCAACATGCACACGCATTTTAGCCGAACAGACAATGTGTGTATGTTTCTAAACGCATGTATGTTTCTTGCCTGTTCTTTAAAGGGGCTCTGAAGAAGGCATCTGAACTGGCTGTGCTACTGAGTTTTACAGAACACAGGAATTTAGAGAGAGATAACGGTTGTTATTGGTTAATAGAGGGGTTGTGGGCATGAGATTTGAAGTTGAGAGTATGATACTATGGTTAAGTGGTGCACAGACACAAACCCAAGCTTAATTACTTTTTCTGAGCTGGCTGTAAAATAATCCCTTTCTCCTAGGAAAGGATCCTAGAAGTCTTTTCAATCTTGTATCATTAGATGCATCATGTGTAGGAACAGTGGTTTTTGGAAACTATATTTAGATACAGACTTTAAAATGTGAGTCTAGTCTGTGAGTCTATGTAAGGTTATGTTGGCTGAAAAACTGGATGTATGTTCTAAGACAGAGTTACTGCTTAATGAGCTTGGAAAGGCCAGGGAAGGGAAGCAAATGTTTCCATTAGTTCATTTCTGCAGTTAAGTTAGTATATATAATTAATTAGCATATGTTCTTTGATCTTCTGTTATCCCTTTTTTCCCCACTATTGATTTGTTCAAGAGTTTAACTGTGCCGGTTGGAAATGAGATATGGTAATCTCCCTGATGCTGCTGCTGAAGAGCAGTTAAACACAAGCCCTCACTGTGGTAATAAGGGATATAGCATCTTCAGGAACCATTAATATAAAGATAATATCAATAAGAACTCCAAATTTGTAGTTTGGGAATTAAGTTTAAATCATTAGATTTCATATATAGTTGCTGGAAATGGTGACTAGTTTATTTTTTGTTTTTAAAGGCCTCACAGAACTGAGTTGTATCAGGATGTTTCATCAACATGTTGGCCTATCGTATATTCTCCTGACTACAACATCACGTTTATGGGACTTGAGAAACTGCATCCTTTTGATGCGGGGAAATGGGGAAAAGTAATCGATTTCTTGAAAGGTAAAATAACAAGAAGGTACCTCTTTGACCAGCATTGGCATGAAGTTAATAGGAAACGTGATTACTACTGACTTATATTAGTAACTGCCAACCTAATAGTGACTGCACTTCATTACTGCTTTTGTAGTTTTTAAGCTGTGCCCTTTTAGTTTAGTTTACTAAAGCTGTGCTTTAGTATTTTCATATGTTTACGGACTTAAATCTTAGCAAATTAAATTGGTCATTAGGATTTCTGAGGTGAATTCACTGTCATGTGTTCTGCATTACTGAAAGTCTTGCATATGCGATATGTAAAAGAGGACATTGTGCCTAAGGTTAGAGCAAACATCCTACACTGGGGCTTTTTAATAAATAGTTTTGTTTCACAGTCCTTTGAAAATGCATGTTTTAGCCCACTCTACTAAATAAAGCCCACAGTTCTCGTTTTGTCTCAGTCATGGTGTCTGTACAGAGTGAAACTCCTGAAGTGTGATTGAAAATACAAGCTCATTATTCATGCCTCTAGGGAGAGGCAATTCTTTAATACTAGTCAGAGTAACTAGTTTTTGTTAATTTCATTTTGGCCCAGAGCTTGACAGAACTGAGTAAAAAGGAGTATGAAGAAACATGAATGCAGCAATGCAGTAGGCTATTTTTAAATATTTCTGATCTTTACAATTCAAATGTAAGCATGAACTGTGTAGAATTTCATTGCTTGGGCTTTACAAGAAATAGGAATAGGGAATTTCTGGGAACCATTTCCACAGTTATCTTTGAAGTTAGCACCATAATCTTGACCTTAAGCCTAACCTGAGGTAGGTACAGAATACTAGAGCCTTGTGTACAGTCCAGAGCTCCATGTTTGGATACTCAGCACTTTTTTAATGACTAGTAAATAGTAAATTTTTGTCCTCATACACTAATCTAAAAATGAAAGAAAATATTTAAGTTTGCTCTTGAAGATCACTGCTGCTTGCTGTTCCAGTTTTTTTTTTCTATCTTTTCAAGACTAAACCTGGATCTGAAACTGAACGCAGACTCCAGTTGTGTCAAAGTGAATGGAAAATCCTTCTGATGTTAGCTGCAAGCTTACAAATGGTTTGGCTTGCCAGTCCTGAATTGCAATGCAGGGTGTACTGTGCACAACTTTATACAGCTAGTGTACTTCCATTGCTTTTATATCTGGTGTAACAAGGAAGGGAGCATTCCATTTGACTTGTAAAACTAGAAGTGTTAATGACTAGCTTGCTGTATTAAATGGATGTGGAGCATAGCTTAGTTCTGAGACTGTAAACAGTCTGGTGGCAAATAGCCTTTTTCAAGCAGAAAGATCAATGCAGCTTGTATAGACACACTCTATATCAACCTCAGATTGTTACTGTGGCAATGTTTGGGAAGAGCTTTGACATACCTCTGACTGCCATCACAAGAATTTCTGCCTGTCATTATTGTTGCTTAAAAAAACTGAAAGATGCATGCAGAAATAATTTAAAGGTTTATAAATGAAAGAAACAAGGTTAGGATGCCTACAAAATCTTGCATCTCTTCATCTGAAGTTTAAGCTTGCTGATCAAGTTTGGAAAAATAAATAAGAATCCAGAAAACCCACCATGCTTTTGCCCTTGTCAAGACAAGGGTAGTCTCAGAGCCAGGCTTGTTCCATCTATGTGATCCTTCAACAGATTTTCTTTTGTAGCTAAGTGCTGCCCATCCTATTTCAAGCTGGTTCATATGTCAATTAAACTTGAGAGTCCCTTCAGTTGCTGAAGCTTTGGATCTTCCCTCTAACAACCTTAAATTATTAAGTCTTGGGTTCCACAACCATTTCCCTAATTAATACTATGTGCCTTTTCCTTTTTGTTCCTTCTCTGTGTAAAGGCTTTTCCTCTAGCTTGTCTCTGTTTGAGTGTCCGCTTTTTACTTTCCATCTTTCACAGAAAATCAGTGTCCTCAGTCACTTTACGCTTCTTACTTTGGAAAGATGGAAGAAGCCACAAAATACTACAGGAAGCTCCTGGGATATTCTCAAGGAGAGAATATTCTCTCCTGGCTTTGCAGCAACTGCTGGCAACAGTTGCTCTATACTGTTGCCTATTGTTTCCTAGAAAATCACGGGTGAAAATCGCTTTCTATGCTTACCTTCTTCCCCGAAGATGGCAATGTGGTTGGCACTCTGACTTTCTATCTGACAAGAATGAATGAAATATTTCTCAAGTCTCAGTCAGGAAGAACATAAGCTTGCAGGGTTACAGATGTTGCTCTCGTATAGCACTTCAGGGAAAAAAAAATCTCTCGCATTAATAACTTGTATTTTTTTTCCAAGTATAAAAGTATAAGATGGGAGGAAAGGTACAGTCTTAGACAGCAGCCCTGAAATAACTAAATATCAAAATTTGTCTAGGAAGATCAGTGTTGTACCCTTATTTGTTGTTTGTCGTGATCATATGCAAAGCAACAACTTTCTTCTGCACTGCTTTTTTTTTTTTTTGGACACACCTAACTTGAATAACTTTCTGGCAAGGACATCTAGATGTAGATCTTAAAATGTATTATCTTTGCCACATGCAGAAATTTTGGAGGGGTATTTCCTAATTTGCTCTTGTAAAGCTAGATATTTAAATAACCTATCTTTTGGTTGCTAAGAGGGAAAGAAGTAATAGCTGCTCGTAGGTATTTCTTCAATTAAATGTAGGTAGGGTTGTGTTGGAGTTAAATATCCCAATTAAGCCTGAGTGTTCAATTCCATGAGCATCCTAGTAGTTTTATTTTGAATCTTGATTTTCTTTTCTTTCACTTTTCTTCTCTGCTTTGATTTAGAGAATTAAATACTAATGTCAGCTGTGGAATTTCTTAAAGCATACTAAGGGATGAAGGTGAATACTTTTTGGTACGAGTGCTAGATTTCCCAAACGCATCAAGCCCTAGATGATGTTGTGGTTCTTATTGTATCTGTTTGTCTTCTCTCCCATCACTTCACTATTTGTCTTGTCTTCCAGTTTAAACAAGAAGTTAGCACACTAAAAACTTTCCTATAAACAATATTTATTATATTCATACTAATTTAATAGCTTACCTCTATAGACAGTATTTATGTGGAGAACTTGTAAAAACTGAGTAAACAAAAATGGTGTTATAGTTATTTATGTCTAGGATGTAGGAACTGCAAAGTAGCATCTTTGGCTTAACTTCCCATATTCCACCCTGCCATGATATACAATGCCAATTGTTATTTCTCTTCTTCTTTCAGAAGAAAAACTAGTTGTAGATGACTTGATTGTACAGGCACGAGAAGCTACTGAAGATGATCTCTTGGTTGTTCACACAAGGCGCTACCTTAATAAATTAAAGGTACTGTACTTACTAGTGTATTTTTCAAGCAAGTTGTCTGGAATTAGGATCAAGACATCCTATTAAGTTCATTGTGGAATCAACTTTTATATACTGTAGAATGACATCGTATTTTGAATTCAACATTCTTGAGTTGATGCTGAAAGAAAACTATAAAAATAGGCAATTCAAATTATAGAAGGGAACGAAGAGGGTCTACTGTGTTGCAAAGGTAACCTGAGAAATGTTCTGCTACAGTGCTGTAATTCTAAAATCAACATCAAATTGATATTGTGTTTTGTCAGCAAGTCAAGTCCATGAATTTTTCCTGTGATTTGATAATGTTCAATCGTCACAGTAAAAACTGCATCTTTTATGCATGTTATAATACAGTGTAGTAAAGGTTAAAAAGTGCATAATAGCTGGCAAAGCAGGTTCATGAAAAAGGCTTGGCTGGCCTCTTCTCAGAGGAGAGAACTCCAAGACAATAAATAGAATTTACTTTACATTTGGACTGACTTTAACATGTCTGATGTGTATATTCTTATTTTTTTTGGAAGCACTTAACATGTGGGAGAAATCTTACTTAGTGTACTACTATTTTTGTATTTTTTTGATGTAGCTAAAATGATATCTCAGCAGTGTTAAATGAACATAAGGAAAACTGTTTGAAATGCAATCAATGTTTTCCTTAGCAGTAGGGTTTTAGCCTTTAAAAGAGTAAATTTTGATTTACTCTAAGGTATGGTTCTGTAATTGAGAATATATTTTGAAGAACATGGAAATAGAATATGCAATTAGATGTTCTTTTAAATGCAAGGATTGCTTTGTATGTTCAAGGTTTATGTAATCCATAAGAGCATTTGTTTAGGGATTAAGTTGACAAGTCTGTGTGGGGGAAGGGGAAGAGTAGTGGCTTCTTATGTAGCGACCTTGCCCATATGACTAGAATACCAAAAGAGTTGAAAGATGAATACAGGGACTTGCGAGTGAGGTAGACCTTAGTTATAGTCTTGCAAGCTATCTGTATGTGAAGGTTTCCAATACCAGCTCATAGTTTTACATACTGACAATGAATAAAGGACACTGGGCATTTCTAAATGAAACATCTGTTTGTTAAACTTAAATGTAATTTTAAAATGTATTCATATAAGTGAGATCTCTCTGAAAATATATTCAGTCCCCTGTAGATGGAATTGGATAGTAGATGAATGCAGATGACATCATCTGCACTTGGCAACTCTTTACTTGGAGGGTAGAGAAGGATTTGTATTAAAAATCTTGCATTTCATAAATCAAAAGAAGTTTTTCTTGAGCCATCTTTGCCCTTGAACGTTGAAAGAATGTTTGTATTGCTATTTCTAGAATGCTTTATTTTTCTGTATAAGGGGTCTATTTATGTGCTATTTTGTTCACTTCCTTTTTTGTGCTCTTGCACTTGTTCATTCTGTGCTATGAATTCACTTGAAATTTTATGCATCATTAGATTTGATCTTATTACAGCTATGCTTGCTATTGAGCTTTTGATCCGTAGAACCACCTACCTCTTTTTACTGAATCCCTTCTTGAGCTATGTATGTTTCACCTTATTTCTTTGCTTCAAGTTTGAAGTACCATAATAATATTTTTAGTACATATAGGACATCTTTACAGAGAATCGTCTGTATAATTTTTATCTTTATGTTTATAAACAGTAGTCTCTTGTGCATTCAGGTTTGTATCTCTCTGGTTCTTCCTTTTGAGAATGTTCCTGCAACTGTAGACATAGGAAGATGTGTTTATCAGGATCTAGAATTCCTGCCAAGCGATAAAGATAAGTGCTTACCTGCAAATGGAAAATACTGTGGATAGACATGAGAACACCCAGGCTATCCTCTACAATGCCTTATCCAAAATGTACTGTGCTAGTCTTTTTAATTGAGAAAAATGGTGTGGTTTTGTATGTTATACTATCATCTCTGAAGACTACAAAGGTGTTTGTGTTTCTAGGAATGCCTAGGTCTCTTAAAATAATGGATCACTTGAGTATTCCTCGTTTAAAATTTGAGGATGAATTTACTAGGAAACTTCCACACACATTTGGGAGAGGAGGAAGTGTTTAGTATGTTAATAGCAGCTGAGGAAGCTTACCTGAAGATAGGCTGAGGGTTGACTGAAGAGATACAAAACTGTCTGCAGGAAGTAGATCAAGCAGTACTGTAAATTTAGTTCTGTGTTAGGAGGTTGCCTGCATAAAGTAACATGAGCAGTCTTTACAACAAAATTTGTCCTTTTGAATTGAGGTGACTTCTCCCCTTCCCCCACTACCTTTGAAGAGTATTGGTCCCTGTGGTAATGCTAAAATTTTGTACAATTTGCCTGTAGTACTTTTCCACTCATTGTCTTGTTCTAGTGTTATGTAAAATAATGAATTTTCTGAGTATAAGCATTCTGAAATTTTGGAAGAAGATAGGCAAGGTAGTTAAACAAAGAAAACTGAGTTTCAGATGAGAGTCTTAAACTTGAATCATTTTTATCTGACTGTCAGGTGTTCTATGATAAGGAGTGAATACTGAAATGCAAATGACATGGAACATGCTTGTGGTGGAACCATGTCAGTGGTATGCATGATATGCTCTTCTGGAAGTGACACAGGTGATTACAACTCATAAAATCAGCTGATTTCATGCTCTATTTTATACATTTGTGAATTATGTGGTTTTAGTTTTAAAAAAAAAATTAGTTAAAATTAATCAGCTTTTACTCCTTCTGCCCTATTGTGCAAGTGCATCTGCCATGTGGCAAGAGATGTTTGCCTATTTGTCACATGGTGAACTCGCCGCAAGTGGTATATGTAGCAAGGGCTGTAGGACACTGTGGAATTAATGCAGCAGAAGTAAGCAGATAAAAATAATCCTTTCAGCCTGTGATATTTCTGGCTGATTGAAGTATCCAAGCGGCAGAGAATGAAATTTGGGCTGTGTGTGTTGCTTTAGTTGGCCATAGACATGGCAACTGAAAACGTGGTTTTGATCTGGATTAAATGAGCGCCTTCAGAAGTCCTTGATATTCCCCTGTCCAGTTCCTCAGCTCATATGTTTTTCGTGTTGTAATCCACTGCTTCTGTTTGCTTCCTACGTTATTGTGCTTTTCCTTGCTTGTTTCTTTATTTTTCAAACTTCATCACTGAAAGTTTTGTGAAGTTCAGTGGTTGTTTTCTATAAATATTTTTGAGATCAAAAAAACTAGCTTTGGTTGTTTTCACCTACATTTCCATGCAAATGCTAATGTATATGTATCAGGTTAAGATCTGTAGAAATGTACAAAAACCTTATTTTAAAAGTAAGGATTCTTGGTTAAAGGTACAGTTACAAGTAACAATCTGGCAGATTTAAGTACTTGCAGGGAATGCTGCAGAGCGTTCCTTATAGCTAACGAATCTTATTAAACCTCTTGCTGGTTGGTTTTCCTGGGATTAGCACCTGGCTATCATTAGATTGTACCAGTGCAGTACCCTGTTACTATTGCTACTAGTGTGTTCGTACCTTGACCTGGAGACTTTTGTGAAAGTTACAAAACTTCTGTGTCTTTTTAAATATTTTATTGTATGTTAATTTAAGTTAAACTTGCTTTCTTTATCTGCTCAAGATGGACTTAAACAGCTTGGTCCCCAGTGAGCTTCCAAAGACAGCAGCATGTTAGTTGCCTGGTACTGGATCTGTGAATTTTCCCTTGAAGCTGGGACTTGCTCCAGAAAATTAACAAAGACTTAAACACAATTTAAATTTAGCTGTTAAAGAACAAAATTCTGTGATTTTACTTGTCTTGGCTATTTTAAAATTCTGGAATACAATGAATATATAACATGAAAGGCAAAACATAAAAGCTGGGTTTTGATCATTCATGTGCTGCTTGTATTAGTCAAGGATTTACCATCATAAAAGCAATTAATTTATCTTTCTAACACTTCATTTTTCAATTTAATTTTTAGTCCTTGAGTTCTTACTGCTGTATACATAGTTTGGAAAATGGTTTAACCTTACTAAGGAGTTTTTTTGTTGTTAAATGAACTGAAGTTAATAGTAATATACTTTAAATGAAAGTTCTGCCAAGTAATAGACTATAAGTTTGCCTTTCTATAGGTAGCTATACTGAGATTCAAGAAATGACTCATTATTGAAGTTAAATTTGGATGTTATAGAATTTGGAATTAGGTGAGGAAAAAGAAGGTTCTGAAGTTTGTGGGTTTTTTAATGTAACATCTTGATACAGTATTATATATAGTCAAAGTTAATGATGCAGCCTAGTGGTTAATTTGAGGGGGATGTGTTAATTTAAAAAAAAACCAAACAAACAGTTAATGATTAACCTGACTGCTTTCCTCTCAAAGAAAAGAGGGAGTGAAACTTTGAAAAATTGGAGACTTAAATTCATATATTTAATTACTTATCTGAAACACAGGAAGGCATTAAAAAAATACTTATGATTGATAGAAATAAAGAAAATGGGTTAAATGGAGTTAATAGCCAAAAAAGAATAAATGAAAGCATATTATTGACTATGGTGTTTTTATATAATTAGTCTTTTATGAACGCAGAACCGATTTTAATTTTGGTTAAGTTACATAGATGCATGTCTACAAATACTCTATTAGAGAATCAATAAATTGATGATGGCTGAGTGAGGGCAAATATCTCCCAAAATAAATAGTAACTGATAGTCTACTATGATATGTACAAGTACAATTTGAATGCAAAAAATACTGATTTTTAAAATTAAACAGGTTTTAAACTTTTTAACACTTTTCAAGAAGTATTTTCATGAAAGCATATAGTTGTGTTCCTTAATCCCAAAACTTTCCATACAGTTGGATTACTTCTTCATCCTATGTTAAGAATTGTGTGAACACAGTAGAGGACTTAACCAAAGCCCAGAGCAGTGACTTGATTCAGAATGCTTCTGTAAATGTCGTCAACTGTGAATAGAAAGCTTTGCTTGCTCTTTTACTCATACCATGCATGAAGTTCTTGCATTGATTTTAAAAAATATGCAACAGGATACTTACTGATTTGCATTCTTATTGCTACTACTTCTTCCTTTTGGGATTAGGAAAAATTTTAACTCCCTGTTGAAATTTTTCTGAAATTTCCTGATCTTTCACATTGGGCACCAAAGTTTATTTTGAACCGAATGTAATCTTTTGCAATTCCCTTTTAGAGCAATAGGATAGAACTTGACCTGCTACAGTATGCTTGTTTAAAAGCTGAAATATCACGCGGAAGGACTTTATCGCTTTTGACTATGTTACAAGATAACTAAAATACTTCATGAGTGGTAGAGAGGTGATATGATAACAAAACAATGTTTTACAAATAAAAAAAATTAAGAGCTTAAACTGAACTGTTGACAAATTATACTTGGCACATAAGAATTTTATGTATAATGCCACCTTTCCCACACCCTACCAGTTCAGATACTGCTTAGTAGTTGAGGGATTGATAACTGTGTAGTCAAAGAAGCTTAAGTTTCTTCAAATATCAGAAAACCCTGAAACTGGCATATCATTGTCTTTGGTTAAATTGACCACTCAAACGTCCTATAATGGGTAAACATGCAGCTAACAATTATCAGGCTACAGACTATGCAAAAATCTGTTGAAATCTCCTAATACTGGAAAAAGTGAGATCCATTCAAAATCTTTGTACAGGGTTTTCAATTCATAATACCTAGCACCTGAATGTTTTAGTACTGGTAGCAATTTGGAATGCAGAAGAGGTGTAGTCTTACTTGTGCCTTAGGCTTTGAAATATATTTAGAAGTTTTATCGCTGGTAGCAATGTCAGTGGAAGTTCTTTGACGTAATCGACATGTTATTTTCAATAAAAGCATATTGCAAATATTTTTGTGTTCCAACCTTCAAATCATTTTCTGGATGATATGACTGTTCAACAGAAGGTTTCCTTGAAAATATTCTAGGCGTCTTTAATACACTAAATTAATTCTAATCAGTTCTCCATGCAAAAGCTTACGCTATGTGTTCACTTAAGTATTTGAACTTCTTAGTTCAGATTTTTTTCCTTTCTCCTTGGTATATTCTTTTGATTCAGTGCTGGAGAAGATCTTAGATTTGAATGATGTGTTAAGTACAGATACTATTAATATCACTGAAAGACAATTTGCAATTCTCTCCCAACCTTAGGGCTATTAGTTTTGTTGGGGTTTTAGGACTGTTTTTGTTTCTTTTAAGATAGCTCACTGAGAAAATACTGACTGTGACTTACATTTGATATAAAACTCTAAAAGCATAGTGATGGTGTTTTGATTAGAAGCGATGATCCTCATAATTACATCTTGAGGAAGAACCTATTTGGAGGTTAGTAATCAGGACATCTGTGGTCACTTGCATCTGAAAATGTAATTCTGTGAGCTCTGAGCTCTGTATAAAAAAGAAAAAATTGTGAGCTCCTTTTCAGTAAACAGTAATTGACAGATCTTAATGTCATCATTAATCAGAACCTTTTTTTTCTTTTCCCTTATAGTGGTCGTTTGTTGTAGCTACGATTACGGAAATTCCACCAGTTCTCTTTCTTCCCAATTTCCTTGTTCAGAGAAAGGTTTTGAAACCTCTACGAACCCAAACAGGAGGAACGATAATGGTAAGGTGCTCTTGATTCACTTTTGTCATAATCAAATGTGTTGATCAAAACATTATAAACCTGTGAGTGGTAATAGTTTGTTTAATTCAGAGCCTTGAGCCCTAAAGTCTTACGGAAGGAAGTGGGTTAGTGGTCAGTCCTAAACGTGAGCAAAGTCTGACGCTTTTTAGCAAATACCAAGGTGAAAGGCAGCAACCTGATGTTACTGTCTATAGTTTGCAGAAGGGAAAGGAGTAATGGGCAGCCTATGCAAACAATGATAGATATGGCAGAGTTTACAGCAAATACAGGAATTGAATTAGTTTAGAACAGTGTCCAAATACAGGCAAATTCTAAGAATGTGAGGTTTGAAGATTGATAACATAAATGATGAGCTTTAAAAATATTTTTTTTTTAGTAAAGATTTTTTGCT